GAATACATATGCACCACAAGTCACCTGATTTGTGTAGGGGCTACGATACTGCTCAGGTGACAGGACCGAAGCAGGTAGTTTACTTTACACCCAATTCACGTCCTCTCAATTCCGTAAGCAACATCCACGCCGCTAAAAGTCAGTGAGTAGGAGCATTTCAGGAGACAGCAGACTCTCTACACCCTTGGCCGTACCGGGGTATTCGAAGACTAATTGAATGCTCACTCCCAATCTCAGCACTGACAATCTAGTCGCAGAAGTATTATATTATATTACACTACCAAAACTATAAACTCAAGTAGATATGGATACAAAAATGAGCACCGTACAAGTGTCCATTCGCTAATATGAATACCAAACACTACAAATAGTAACAACACTCATCGTTCAAAACCCAAAACAAATAGGCCAACCATACTGTTAAGACACAAAGACAAATCACAATGTAGTGGTCCTAAATAGGACCGTGATACGTTCTCGTGTGGACCAGTTGCAGGTCGCCGATTGTTCACATGCTAGTGAATTAACCACCGAAACCGTACAAAGTACGACCTTGGCGTTTCAAAGCGTACACCACATCCATAGCTGTCACTGTCTTCCTCTTGGCGTGCTCTGTGTAGGTGACTGCATCACGGATCACGTTCTCCAGAAACACTTTCAGAACACCACGAGTCTCCTCGTAGATCAATCCTGAAATGCGTTTCACACCACCTCGACGAGCCAGACGACGGATTGCAGGCTTTGTGATACCCTGGATGTTGTCACGCAACACCTTGCGATGTCTCTTGGCTCCTCCTTTGCCCAAACCCTTACCACCTTTACCACGACCAGACATGTTTCACAAGGATTGATACACTGACTTGCAGACCGACACGAGACGACCCTATCCTAGCCACATAACTCGGCCTAGTCCACTTGAATCCTTAGAAAAATAAGCCATTATTTAACCAATCACATTTCTCGCACTGATTACTTAGGTCAGCAATCAGTGGTTGATTTCATACATATACAAGCATGCATACACACACGCCTATGATATAAACAGACACAACCGAGGTCATTTATCAGCTGTTTGTGAGAAACGACTGAGAAAGAAGGTCAACTATTCATTGCAATTCGCTTTCTGGTCCACCAACAATAAATTAAAACACATTTCCTAACCCGACACTATTCGATTGTTTTTTTTTCACTTACTCCCTCCGTAATTCTGAACAATTCACAAGGAGGACGATTTGCTAAATGGAATAAATTGGTCAAAACTCACTATATCTTTGTTTGAATGTTGAATATTTATGGAAAAATTAGGGAACTGAACAAATGAATTAAGAATATAAATGGATATATTATAAATACAAATCGTATTAACTTAATTCATATAAATTTCTTACACAATGTAGTTATCATTGCTTGTGTGTGCTATGGAGTGTAAATGATATCCACTCCTCTATTCCTCCCCGGAACACGTACACTGTGGAGAATTAGGCCTTACACAACATTATTCAATTTAGACCTCACGCAGAGGTTCAAGTGTGTGATAAAACCATTCTGAACAAGTTTATGAGTGGTAAGCTTATTACTGATGAGTGGTTTTGTAATTGAAAAATCTGATAAAATTCTTGATAATGGCGATTACTGTTGGTGAAATAATGACTGAATCGTAAGTGTGAATCTATAAGTTGCTTTTCTAAAAAATTGAACAATGGACAGGTTGGATCAGTATTGACTATCTGGTTGGACTAATCGTTTATGGAAATACGAATATACGTTGTTGGCAATTGCCAGTATAATGTACTCGTAATAATGTGTGAATTGATGCTTCGTACTGTATTCGTGTCTGAGTTGCCCAGTATCATGAGATGCGTAATTTGGTTGGCGGCTGATAACCTGTAGATATGAGATATTTACAATGGAATGATCAACGAGGAGCGAATATTTTCATACATTTAGTCCGTTAGTAATGTCATCTTATGTCAAATTATTTTAATGATCATCTATTCTTTTGGGCAGATAGAACAAGAAAACTTTCATTGAATAAAGCAGATAGAATATTGAGGAATTTAGAAAACTAAGCATCAGTGACAATAATATACAACAAACAACACGGAATGGAATATGAGAATCAATGCAAGGAATGGTAAGAGAAATTTATAATAAGACAGAATTGTGATGATGATGTGTCAATTTAAGAAGAAACGTTGTTGAAAGAGTGGAAGTGCAATAAGGTCAATTCACTGAACGATCTTTGCGATAGTAGAAGTAGTTATGGTTTGTTAGGATGTTGATCGCCTGATCTCATTTACACTAATGGTATATTCCACAAAGAAAATCACTACTTCCACATTTCATCGCTCACAATGAAATATGGTGCAGCATCAATGCAATGAGTGTTGTGTAGTGTTGTGCGTAACGTAACGTAACGTAACGTAAAGTAACATAATATTTGACATGGTTCTTGACGAATTGTGCGAAGTGGATGGTTTGTTACACTGTGGATTGTAGGTGAAACGATGACGTTGATATTTTATTATGTGATATGGCGTCAACTGTAGACATGAGGATGAGGAGATATGACCGGGAGGTGGTGAGATTTGTTTTATGTGTGCGTGTGTGTATTGAGTGTATGGATGTAGGAATGTATGTGTAGGTGAGGTGTTGGATGAGAGTGGATTGACACTTCTCAGATATAACATGTGTGTGAGTAAGGAATAGTTTGTTGATGAAATGAAATATGAGTGTGTTGTGTTGTGTTGTTGTGCGGTAGTTTAGTGGGGTTTAGTGAGTGTTTGTTTCCGTCACCTACACTTACGTCACACTCTGAACACTACCAGCCGGCCAGTCAATGGTTTGGTAGGTGGTGATGTAGGATTTTCGCACCATCCACTCCACCCAACCCTATTCACTGATCTCCAATAACAAGTCGTCTGTTCTTCCTTCCTTATCTTCCTGAATTATACAATCCGAACAGTTTGGGCAGAAACTATTATTAACACCTAATAATTCGATGTGTTTTTGTCCATTGTACATTACATACGTTATTTACGAAAGTCGCACCAAGTCAATCATCGATGATTCCCACATGTTTTTAAAAGTGAGTTATGTGCTTTTTATCGTAGAGTAGTGGTCACGTTCTCTTAGGGTTAATTTACAAAAACAACAAATTTTATTGATTATACTCTGGGTAGAAGCTTTTACTCACGAGTATCTTTAAAGAATGGTCAGCGTCCAAATGTCTTGGTATGACCGAGGATTGAGGGCATCCACTCTGCCCTTCGAAATGCTCTCATGTGGCCACGCACATATAACCACTACCAGGGGAGTCCTACTCACGGACTGCTCGTGGCCGGAGTGTTGTTTACAAGATTGAGAGAATGAGAAGCAAGTGTTCGGCGCTCAAATCTGGTCGGTGAGTATGCAGCATCCATCCTGCTTCCAGATCAATGGTGCACATGGGCTCCAGGATCTTGAGGGAATAAATGGTGTAGGAACGTATTCGTTGTCACTGTCTACCATGGAATGGCATCTACTAACGTTGCTCTACTGCCTTGTGGATGATACACCTGGGTCAAATGCTTGGCGGGTGATCACCCTAAGAATACAACTGCTTCGGTTTGGGTACCCTGGAAGTATCCCAGCTCATAAGCAAGTTCGATGATTTGTGTGGTACATATATATTTTGTTGCCCGTTTTTGCTGATTTTCATGGGTTTAAATAAATAATGATCAGTTATAAAGCATACGACGAATTCCAATTTGTAATCATAAATCGTATTGTATGCAACTCACATTTAGAAGTTCCATACCTAAAGAAATGTTAATAGTGAGTGAGGTTACGCTAGTTAATCCAGAGAATCTTAAATGCAGGAAGACCATAACGTATACTGTTTACAGTTCCCATAGTTATACTGAGATGGAGAGATAAATTACCTAGATTTGTCATCACTTTTCTCATCTTTTTATTAAGGTCGTCCTGTTGAGCAACTAAGAAAGTAAGTAAGTAAGCAAGATCCTCAAGTACAACACGGAGAACACTAACCAAATCAATAACACACGTTGGTTAAACGCTAGAAGAGGAGGAAGCGTTCACTTACCTGGACAGCATCATCGATAAACAAGGAGAATCTGATGCAGACATAAAGGCGAGGATTGGCAAAGAAAGAACAGCATTCCTACACTTGGAGAACATATAGAACTCAAAACAACGCTCAACCAATATCAAAGTCAGAATCTTCAATGCGAACGTCAAGATAGTCTTACTGTACGGCGCTAAAACTTGGAGAACTACCACAACGATCATCAAACAAGTACATATATTTATAAAGAATTGTCTACATAAGATATTCAATGTCCGTTGACCGGAAACCATTAGCAACACAATACTATGGAAGAGAATAAATTACCTTCCATATGAATAGGTAATTAGGGAAAGACGCTGGAGATGGATAGGACATTCACTGAGGAAATCACCAAACTGTCAAGTCATTAATAATAATAATGGCAGCAATAATAATAGTAACGATAATAAATTGGATCACGAAGTAAGTCATAACTTGGAGTCCTTAAGGCAAAGGAAAAAGAGGTAGATAGGAGAATAAATTAAGTCGGGGATCGGAGGTAGAAATTAAAAGATGAACAGCACTTGGAAACAACTAGAAAGGAGAGTTCAGGATGGAGTAGGTGGGAAGCCCATTCTCGACGAGGGGTAACAGGCCTAAGTGTTAAATGTGTGAAGTGTAAATGTACACATCCAAGTGAGCTTTTGTTTCCGCTGAAGAGAGAAATTCATATAACGTTCAAACTAAGAGATAGAAAGCGAAAAAAACTGTTAGTAATGATATAACCAAATGTATTCATTCCTTCTTCCAAAAAATATTTTAGACACTCATGTACAATGATTATCTGTCTTATAATCAAACAACGAATTAGTTTTCAGCTACTTTATTGAATTAAAATTCATTACAATGGTGTTCTTCTTCTTCTTCTTCATTGAATATTGAGATATTTTTAGCTATGATAAATGTTTATTCTTGTGTCTGCTGATAAACGCATATCTAAACGCCTGTTGAAACGCTTGACATCTAAACAAATGGAAAAAGATTAAATGAATATATTGAATATTTTTTGAAGAATACGTACAAATTTTTAAAACAGCGGCTATTTTTTCACCTAAATCATCTTCCTCAAGATATTTTCGAATTTTCTCTTGACACTTATGTTCAAACTTCTTCCAAAGTTCTTTAATTGAATTCCATAATTTGACACTTTCAATAATCTATAAATATGATTATTAATGATGATTAATTAATTAAAGATTGATCATTTTATAATTAACTTACTAGTTCCTGTTGACTAGATTTGGATCTAGAAAAAAAAGAAAGAAATTCAAAAGCATTTGACATTAGAAACAATGAAAAATCCTTGTCTACGAAATTCACTTACATTGGAAATTATTGAAAGTTATAGAGTTTAGGTTAGTTATCTCATTTTATTTTAGAATCTGTAATGGAATTGAAGAGCCATAATTTCTATTTACCATAGTGATCATTTTTATTTCCAAGTTAATTCTAATTTGTTATGTACTATATAAATAGGTTTTGATCTAATCAGTCATTCCTTTATGCTACCATAACTGATGAAGTAATTAATGTTGAATCAACTTTACTTACTCACCAAATAAATTCTGTATATAAATTATATGCTCTATTTTCTGTTTTACTGTATAAATCTTTCCATCTGTGTTGAATATTTGATCATCTATCTTCATGTTTTAATACCATTGTGTTTAAACTCTGCATTTTTTTATAACTAAGTTTTGATTTACTATTTGATTGGTTGTGTCAAATCATTAAAAAACAAGTTAGATGGTACTGAAGTCTAACCCAACTATAAAGAGTTATTATTAAACTTCGTTTTGACTATTCATCAATCTATATGTTGATCCTTCTTGATATTTATTAGACTGCTGTTGTAAATTCCACAAATCTCCTAACTGGAGATGTCATAGTTATGTACTATTAATTTATTATTCTAATTATATTTGTACTTACGGTGTTCATTCTTATTGGAGCCTATTTTGAATGATTTTGAAGATATCAGTTGTAGAGTCCAGTAGTGTTTAGCCTTTTTATTATTATAAGAATTAAGGCCATTGACTAATATTCTTCTTATTATTTATTTTAACATATAGATATTGGTACAAGGAGGCACCAAATACATATGCGCCACACAAATCTCATTCGATATATGTGAGGGCTGTAATACCGCCCGGGTACCCAAACCGAAACAGGTGGTTTTCGTAGGGGGTCACACCCCGAGCCTTTGACCTTAAGGTCTGATCCACAAGGCAGTCCCATGGAAGCTGGTGACGAACAATTGGTTCATATGCCATTTGTTCCCGCAGGATACTGGAGCCCATATGCGCCAATGGTTTGGTTTGGGATCCGGTTAAAGCGCGGAACATTCGCTTTTCGTCCCCTCTATTTAGTAAACAACACCCCCGCCATGAGAAGACAGTGAGTAGGACTTACCTGGCAGACGCTATATAAATGTGGCCATGTGAGAGCATTTCGAGAGGGAAAGCGGACTCTCCCCACTCTCGGCCGTACCAGGGCATTTGGGGGCGACTAATATTCTTAATTAGTTTATAAATGAGACTAATTACCGGTCAAATGTTCTGTGATTATTATTATTACTTATCCAACTAATATCCATTTATCATAAAATGAAACTATCTTGGAAGTTATCAGTGGTTTAAATAAATTAACCTAAAAGAATGAATCTATAACTAATATTATTGGATCCAACATAGCTAAGGTTTATACTGAATGATAATAGTATAACTAATAAGGGGATAGTTAGTTTAGTTGGATGTAGATATACTTCATTTTCAATATTCTTTAAAAACGACTAGTTTATTTATCTTATCTAATATAATGTAGTGTTTGATGAAATACTACTTTGATCTTTTGTTCTTTTTTTGTTAGCAGAGGTAAAAATTATCATAGTTAAAGTGTTAGATCTAATCCATTTTATTCTTTGTATAAACTTTAGGTATTCTAGTAACAATGTTTGTTTCCAGCGATCTGAATGACTAAAAAAAATTCCGTTTGATAATTAAATCATTTTATTTGGTGGTTACCAAATTTCCTGTTTATTAATGGGCTAATTTACAGATTATTTTTCCTAATATAGTTATCTCCTAATATTAGTAGTTTATGATAAACCAAAAAAAGATCTAATCTTTAACTGACTAATATCGATGAAAGAATCACTGAAAATCAGTGAGTACGATTAAGGTCACCTACAACCTTTTTCAATGTTTGATGAGTCCGTTTTACTCAACGATTCCGGATATTTTGCATGTCATTTATTGGATGTGTGCTGAATATTAAAGTGTAACTTTCATTAAAAATTCCGTTTCCAACCATGAGTTTCTCCATATTTGTGCATTTTATCTTGAATTGTGAATCGCGCGATAATATCTTGTTCATCACATACGGCTGTAGATAAATCTATATGCTTGAAATAAAATCTTTAGTGAAAATTACAGTCCAATATTCAGCACTCACTTCTCAAATAAACAAAAATATAACTGAAATTTATGAATAAAAACACTTGTTGAACACTGAGAACGTTGAGAATAGCATCAACTGTTAGTACTATGTGTATTTTTTTTATACGTAACAATGTCGAAGAGTGAGAAATCAAAATATATTGAGTACTGGATTGTGAAGTTAATGGATATATACCTACTGAACAAGCTCCAATCAATGAAACCGTCTATTATTATAATTGGTTACTATCTATCCTCATTACTTGATAGGTTATGTTTATAACTAATGTTTTCTTTTCATTTTTGTTATGAAGATTCACTTGATATCGTTAAATTGTCAAAATGATCTTCAGATTAATCATTAACGTACACAAAATAACAAATTTAAACTACTGTCTATTGAGTTAACATTTTAATAATTAAGCTGTTCATACAGTATACTATTACAGCTTACGATTTTGTAGTGTTTCCTACAAATACAAAGCAATCAGAACACAAGTGGAGGGAGATATTTATTTATGCAGTTTCAGTAATACTGTTTTGATAAATCTACAAAAACACGAAATGGTTATTCAGGGGAAATATTTTATAATAAACGTTGTTGATGGTGGATAATTCATACTTTATTCCCAACTCTCATTTAGAGCCAGAAATGAAATAAAAGATTTGATTGAAAAAACCATCCCTTAAATTACAATTCAAAGGTGATATAGTCAATGAAATAGTGATATGATGTATACGAAATAAACTTAGAATGAATTTTCAGTTTAGTAAATTATATCCTTCTTTCTGTAGCCAACCAGTAGTGATTTTACTTAAGAAAGATTGAGCTGTTCAGCTACTTTTATTTCTATTTACCAGTTCAACCGATACCACGGAACCAGTTATATTTGGCGTACAAGCCAAATGGTTAGTTGTATTTCTGAAAATCATCACTCATAGTTGGCTAATGCACAAAAGGAAATAATTAAAAACCTCTACACTGTCCCTATTTAGTTAATAGTAGTCACCATATCCGCATAAATTTAGCTTCCGAAGTAATTTATAAAATTATCTCGAATTGACCAACTCTCTAACAATCCATCTCTTACGACAGAATTCATAGGAATATATATCAATATGAGTGGATTGGTTGAAGTTAGACATTAACACCGTTGGATGTCGGCTCAGTGGTCTAGTTGATTAAGCGCCTGGCGCGAGACTGATAGGTCCTGAGTTCGAATTTCGCGGGGTGCGTGTTCGTGGATACACACTGCTGAGGAGTCCCGTACTAGGACGAAGCGGCCGTCCAGTGCTTCCAGGTTTTCCATGGTGGCCTAGCTTCAATTGACTCATGATTTCAACAAGTGAAATACATCAATAAGCCTAATCATTCTATACAAACCCTTAACTTACCATGACGTTCTACTTAATTATTCTTATTCTTCCGAAAAAAAATTTTTCGACTATATTCAGTTTTACATTCTAATTTTAGTCTTAGTTACATAATGTCTTAATAATATGATTATTATACTCTCTATGCATTCGTATGATTAACTACTTATTATTGATTTTGTTTATCATACTAAATATCTATAGCCTATAGCTTAATTTCAATCTTACTCATTCAATTCACATTCTTATTCTTACGTAACTAGTTGAATATACAATTGATTATGTAAAGTTGTTCTGGTTTTGATTACAAATACATTATGCCTTTTAGTAAATTTAGATGATACTCTGATTAAATATTATAATTAGTTATTTATTATATAGAAACCCGAGCTTCCAATTTTGGGGAAATCCCCAAAGTCAAATGACCTTGACCAGGGTTAAAGGGGAATTTCCCCCACGTCTGGGGAAATTTAGGGGTTTCTGTGCCATTTCCCCAAAGTTTACTATAGCGGCTTCCCCAAAATTGGGAGCTCGGGAATGTTCTGTTCTTATTTCATTGGAAATAGATTACAGAAAAAAGAAAGCAGTGACTTACTCAGTTACATTGAACAGTAACAAAATAGTTAGTACAAATAATAAGATGAGTTTCATTATTGAAATTGTGAATAAAGCTTGATGGACATATACATTTATATATACCAGGTAGTTGTAACCATACGTTTGTATATGTGAACATGTAAACATTCAACATCACGAATTCATCTCAATATAGAATTACCATGAAAAAAAGTACAAACTTTGTTTATATTCACGATACCATTGATGTTGTTACTCTATTATAGTGAATACATGAACGTCATACTTGGATCTGTTCTAGATAATATGAAATTTTGTTTTTAATAACAGTCATAATAACGAAGATACCTTTCAAAAACTTGGTTACATTGTCTGGTTTACATTATATCAACAAATTATAAGGATAAAATTTGTAGTGTAATTAAACAGAATTTATTGACTTAATATTGAATATGATAGACGAATGGAATAGTTTAGAAGTTAATCAACTGATTTTAAGGTTAGAAATTAAACATGTTTACAATTTCGGGAGAACTCAGCCAGGCATATCAGTACTGCAGCCAGTTTGGTCAATATACAAAGCAATTAATTGATTACAGGATATTAATAGATGTACAAATTATCGAGTTAAAAGCCTGTAGCCTTATTGTGAAAATTAGGCTACTTAATTTTATTATTCTTAAAAAGCACATACTAATCACAAGTTTGTTTTGAAGCAACATACATAATCTGCAAACCTTACGCGTATGATAGGACAGAACTGGATTATATCCGTAACACTTTATGGCGATAAATCTGATGCCCCATTGTACTAATATTTATATGGTCAAATAGGTCGAAAATAATACTGACAGCTCACATGGACCTGAACTACCTACTGCCTCGCCAGATACACAATCATTGTACTTGCGCCACATAACCGTAGGCTGTTTATAAAAACCTGTTGCAGAAAAGTGTAGACAAGGTAAATGATGAACTGAATAATCTATCAAATGAGGTTTGACCATTCCTACATCAAAAGACATTGCAATAGTGCCTTAATAAAATTGGCTCCCCGCATATGTTGTACGGCACAAGTGAGCCTGGAGGTGGGATCAGGACGACTTCCCAACTATAAAATCAAAGTACTAGATCGACTATGCTCAACATAATGTATTGCATATCATTCAGTGTAATGATAACCACTGAAGTTATATCCTCTCCAAGCCCGAAACCGGACAACCCCATACACAATTCCCACACCTCAGTATCTTCCGTATGCTTTAGATAGTACGTTCCACAGACACTCATTTCACAAGTACATGGCCACCTGATGCTGACACTGCACGACAAACACACACAATAAGTCGGACCGCAACTTAAATCCTACTCAGTTATGGGATATTCTGTCAAAATATCACCATGCCCGACCCTTACAAACAGTATCGAGAATTGAGCACCATACAAGTGTCCATTCGCTAATATGAATACCACACTACAAAAAGTAACACAACACTCAGTGTTGAAAGTCCAAAACAGATAGGCTACCCATACAGTTAAAACACAAAGACAAATCACAATGTGGTGGTCCTAAATAGGACCGTGATACGTTCTCGTGTGGACCAGTTGCAGGTCGCCGATTGTTCACATGCTAGTGAATTAACCACCGAAACCGTACAAAGTACGACCTTGGCGTTTCAAAGCGTACACCACGTCCATAGCTGTCACTGTCTTCCTCTTGGCGTGCTCTGTGTAGGTGACTGCATCACGGATCACGTTCTCCAGAAACACTTTCAGAACACCACGAGTCTCCTCGTAGATCAATCCTGAAATGCGTTTCACACCACCACGACGAGCCAGACGACGGATTGCAGGCTTTGTGATACCCTGGATGTTGTCACGCAACACCTTGCGATGTCTCTTGGCTCCTCCTTTGCCCAAACCCTTACCACCTTTACCACGACCAGACATGATTCAAAAGGATAGATACACTGACTTGCAGACCGACACGAGACGACCCTGTCCTAGCCACATAACTCTGCCTAGTCCACTTGAATCCTTAGAAAAATAAGCCATTATTTAACCAATCACATTTCTCGCACTGATTAGTTAGGTCAACAATTTATGTTCAAGGCCATAGGACTCTAAGCCATAGGCCATAGGGATATAGGTCTTTTATTAACCAATAAGAAATAGCCGAGTTTATCGTGGTGCTTTGACGTGATATGCTGTGTTCGCCCTATGGATAATGCTTCGAAGTCGTTTAGTTATTCAGTAAGTATTGGGTAAGTTGGTCGTACTGCTCAAAAAATGTAATACAGATGTGTGATTAGAAGTAAATTATGTACATAAATTATTCAGTTCCGTGCTAAATTCACACTTATATGATGTTTCTGTTTGAACTATCGATTTTATTTTTCGATTCTGAGATTATCTTAATCTGAGGCCTATGTTATTACTGACTTACGTCTGTTGACTTTCTTACTGAATTTAAGTGCATTGTGTGCGTCTATTGGATCGTCAATTCCCTTCTTCCTTTCTCTTTCTTTCCTCCACCTTTCTCACACTATTTATTCTTCTGCGGTATACGAAGTACCTCCTGGCAGAACTTGAACGACCACAATCATAGTTAGTGTATATTCTTGATGAAAACATCAGAAATCACTATGGTTATTATGAGTGAACTCATCACAAGTTCGTTATTCATGTTAAAGCCATTATATTTAACTGCATCGTAAATCGTGCAGAGCCAATGAACCTTAACTTGTTTGCCACAAAATGATCCTAGTACTTCCGTATACATAACTTTAGTCTCGAGTTGCATTTGTATTTTTTTATCATCACAAATCATTGTTGGCTAAAGAGTAACACTAAGTCTCGTACATACCTTATGTTTGCTGAAAATTTTGCACGTGAACGTTTGGGAACATTATGACCTACGTTTGTACACTATAATTTATGAGAAACTGGTGCTATTTGTAATTAGTACCTATTGGAGATTTAACGCAGGTAGCCACCAAACTGATATCTAACGTGAAGTCATCTGTCGAAACTTAACATCGGTTCGCAAACATGATAGAATTAAATTTATTATTGTTCATTCCCGTCTGAACTGATACCTTTAAATGTGCATTAGAATTTCCTCACTGTACGAATTATTTATTTATTACAATAAATATTTCTATTGATATTACTTCAGTCTTCTATTTGTCGTCGTAAATAATCAGATTTTCAGATGTGGAAAGTGTTTAGGAGAAAGGCTACTCGTATTACGTTTATTAATCTGACGATGTCAGTTTGTTCGATGAAAAAAAAGTATCGAAAGTGGTATTAAATGATAAGCGCGTTGTGAGCAGAAGCTAATTCTCCTCTATAGCAATTAGCTAACAATTAAGCTTTGATAATGACAAAAGTTGTTAGGAAACAGAATTTCTTTCCAGATCATCAATGTTAACTAATGGGATATTCTGAAGTTATTATTAGTTCAAAACCCAGAATCAGCTGATATTTTTGGATTTCATTTTGGAAAGTCAGAGCATTTTTCCGAAGTCAGTGGGAATTATCCGTAAAAATTCTGCACCTGCAAAAAGCCTAAGCCTAATAAATAGTTTGGGACTTGTTATCTGTGATTCACAGCATTTTCTCAAATTGCATGAAAATGCTGGGTAAATTATTGATCGTCTTGAGAAAACCCCCATGCTTTTGGAATTTCAGGTCAATTCTGGGGAAATATTCTAAACTTGGAAGAATATCAGTTGAATTTCGGGAAAAATCCCATACATGGGATGGGATTTCCACAGAATGGATTAGTTTTGTCCCAAAGTTTGGAGCTTGTGTTTTCTTACACAATTTCCCAAAAGCTAAAGTACCTAGTGCTTCCTGGAAATCATGCAACTAATGGGTCTTGTTTTCCAATATTTACAACATAATTTGGGAAATCCCCATATTGTGATTTAGAACAACACATCAGCGAACAATATGGTCTTCTATTGGATCCTCATTATGGAAAACGTGTCCTTTCTATTGTCCATTTTTTAAAAGATGATATATTCAGCTACTTGACTGAATACCGGGATCCTGCTCATTATATTGTCACCAGCTTATTCAGATACCATCCGTTCGTTATCGACAGTGAACATAATTTGCTTCGCCATTTCCGATGTAAATGTCATCACAATTGCATAGCGAATAAAAACTTATAGGAAACTAAAGTGGTTTAGTGTACTTCATAATCCAACTATAACTGAAGTGTCAGTCTGTTTGTGCCCAGGTTGTAGAGTATCCAGTAGGAACGCGTGTCTTCCCTCACTTCAGCATATCATTGTCCTATCGAAGTCTCTCATAATAATTCACATTCTTTTGCATTACTTTGATTGTGAAGCCACCAGTACTAAATAGTCTGGAACCACCTTTATAAAGATAAAGTCTCTACAATTTTTATGAATTTTTGTGTATAGGTTAACACACGTAGCTTAAATTTTCCTACAGAACTAATATATTTTTATTATGTTTATGTACTCTTATTAAAGAGAATCTTAAGATATCGACATACATATCTTAATTAATGGTCAGCAAGCTGGTTCAACTCTTTAGTATTCCTTTTGCAACTAAATGTGGAAGCACTTATCCCTGATACTGAATAGTTTAAATATTGGTGTTGAGTTCACCATCACTAATGGATTATAAGAAAGAAATTAAATTTTGTGGATACTATTTATAGGGGTAGCTGTCACTAAATGAAATCCTAAATGTTTTCTACTTCTATGAAATTCGTGGCAACCTGGACCGATGCATATATGTGCCCGGTCCTACGTTGTAGCTGACTGACTGACTAGGACAGATTTACACTCTTGGATAATTCGATTGGCTTAAGTATAAAACTTACTTTCCAGCATTCACCCTTCAAGTGTACTGGCAGTGTCTACCAAACTGCTCGTTTTCACCTAAGATGGAAGATAATTTACAATCAGTTGTATATCATCAAAGCCATCAGAATTTGGTGGGAACATTGACCATCGGCTGACATTCTAGGTACACTTTATCCGTAGTCTTTTATGTTAGTAGCCGTAGCTACAACCTACCAACGGTATTTCCAT